ACCATTATTCTTTCCTGGATTGCTTAAAAAAGACTACGCCATATTTCGTAGAACTCTGAAGACTGTCAGTAGGACGAGTGGTATCCCAGTGGGCCATATCGTTGACATTGTCACTGATAGGCGCTTGATGTCATGCAATTAATTCGCTAAAGGAATTTTGTCAGACTCTGAGCACCCACTCTACCCGCAGCTCCAACCTTGTGTCTCCTCAGGTAAAACAAAACGTCTTTTCAGAATACTTTATGCACGTACGTCTAAGTACAAAAATTCCACTACACCATATTTAGCACGTACTCTATGTGATGAAAATAGTGTCAGAAATGAACTAACTAACCTTCTTTGCACTACTAAATAAACCATTTCCTTTACCCTTAAAGCATCATTCTTTTTTGTTATTGTATTTCTTATATTTATAATCCTCTCAGTTTTTTCGTTTTCTTTATTTTATTTTTCACAAGTGTGGACATAATTTTAAGCTGTATTATGACTGTTAACTTTGTATTTCACCTCACTATACCATATCAACAGAATATGAGACCCAATTATCCATAACATGCTAAAGTTTCCAAACTGAATCGACAATACCGTTTTGAAACAAACTCACTGTTATTATTATTATTATATCTATTAATTATGTCGTAAATGTGGACAAATTCCTCCGATTAATTTTTGTTTTAATTTTATTTATATTTTGAGTAAATCAGATGCAATATTGTGACAAATGCTGAGAATTCCATTCTGTATTATAAGTACTGTTTTTTGAATAAAGTAAATTATTATAATTCCCCGGGTGTTTTTATTCTGTTTTAAACTGGATGCTACTCTCACATACCGGCTTATTTATGGTGGCGGCAATGTCTTCGACCACGTGAAACAGTTCATGAAATGTGTAACGCTTGCTTGAAATGACTACACGAAACTTCCGCACAAGTTTTCAGACCTTCAGTCCAGCCCTGTGGTGGATGTGACGAGATAATATCTTCATTTTCAGTTCTCTACACTTCTGGTTTGTTTGGGGTTTTGAACCAAGATACTGTGGCAGCTGTGAACAAAAGCTGTGTAGTGGGATACGTCGGAGAAGAAAAGGTAGAAAACACCATATCGATGGTGGTAGTCTTACGTCCACAAGATGTCAAGGAAATTCGTAAATCCGGGTGAGAGATCCAGGAAGTTTGCCAAATCAGTCGAACCTTCGAAGGTCAATTTTTATCCGCGCCGAACCAATCACAGGATGAAATACTGAATTTTCATGGGACTGTAGCTCAGCAGCTTCGTTGTGGTGCCTCTGTCTCTACGGCTTCTTCAAATCATCGTCAATAAATACACCTTTCGACAGCCAAAATTTTTATATCCTCACTCTGATAGGCGGGGCGGTGTTGAGAACAGCCTAGCCACCAGGTTAGGTGGGCCGCACCAAATGTTAGCAGCTAGTGTGACTACACCTCAGGTCTAGCAGAAGAGATGGCTACACAACAATCGCTAGTGTTCTTTCTAGTCGAGCCCAAGTGGAAACGAGCTAGAAATCGTTCAAGCAGCCTGACAAATCAATAAGATCTCCTCGGAATCCAGACACCTCATCTTCACCACCAGTTCGTTTATTCCTGCTACCTAGATCAAAGAAGCTTATCACCGACATCTGATTATTTGAGTGAACCAGTTAATGGTGACTGCAATGTGTTAAATCAGTGTATGCTTCTTTAACTTGACACATACGTATGCATTTTTAGACACTTCAATGGCCCTCAGCCTGATGGATCGCGCTAAGGACAGCCTATTCAGATTTATTATGGTCGATCATTGTAAGGAGTTGGTCACCCGTGTAGCCAAAGCGCAGGTGGATAGATGGTCATAGACTGCGATCGCGAATCTTTCTCATAATTAAAGTCAACACAAAAATTGGCTCGAAGTCCTTCAAGCAGTGAAACTAATTGTATGCCAAAGTCAAATAAATGCCTGCTCGTTGACATCTCCGCATCCTATGACTGGAGAACATAGCGCTCGCTACTATTTCAGTTTAACATAACAGTGAACTGCCTGTAAACATGTACACTTCGACTAAACATTGCGGTCATTTTATTAAAGGCCGAAAGTACATCGTTTATATGGATTCGCATTGTGGTAACCGCAAGCGTTTGCTTGAAGAAGAACATGAGCTTCAGAATTTCTGAGACGTTATAGAGAAATTTCAGTGTCAAAAACGCTTTTCACCCTCGTTTCTAAGGTTGCCTTGGTCATGAATAATTCATAATGGATGAAAGTGGGTCAGTGATTGCACGCAACGCTACCGTTCAGAGGTGCAATCATACAACATCACATTACTTTGATCTTTCGCAACACACAATTCCCACATCAGTCGCTTTAATTAGGATATCACTGGATCATTTCCACGGTTCAGTGGCAAGCCACACCTCACGTGCCTAGCTGATTTCACCTGCTATCCAAAGCAACCCTTATACCTGGCAACACAGCCAATATGAACTTTGACTTACTATGGAAAAAGCACTGTGATTGTTTCATATAGAACGTCTTCCAGTGGCCCTGTCGGACATTTCGATCGCCGATATAGGGCCTTCAGTGTACAAAATCTACGGTACGTTACAGTTCTCATGTGTCAATGTCAACCAACATTCACTCGTTTACAGGACAGACTACTACAGTCGGACATGTGGCTTCAAGACAACGCACACGTCTTGCATGTGCTGATCGAAAACTTCTATAGACTCCCCACGATGCGTCTTTAATTGCAAACACCTAAAACAAAGGTTTTTCATCATAAACAGATTACTATCGAAAGGCATAACAAGTCTCAACTACTTGAAAGAAACACACATGGATGCCAACTGATTTCCTCCAACATCAATAAGACCGGAGAACTCCTTGCCACAAAACTCCGAAATAAACTAGTATTTGAGAAGATAATGAATATTTTAGTAATGTCACTTCCGACGACGCTTATAAGTCAACATGTACACACCCTAGTAGGTGAGTACCCTGACCTATGCGGTCATTATCAGTGAGGTAGTTTTCACCTTTTGGAAATTTATATCTGGTGTCATAAACATCTTATTACTGTACTCACAAACGTCACATTTTTTACATACAGTTGTCACTTAAAATTCTCATAAATTCGTAAAGAAATACTAAATAAGTAAATAAATGCCTGTCTATTAACTCCCAGCACCCCTTTCTGTACAGGTTTATCATGATGTTCCTTCATACCACTGATTTCTGTTTTTCCCATCGTAAAAAACCAGACATACATCAAAAATTGCGTACAAGATGTTTTTAGCGATGCTAATTAAGTATTCCTGCAGTCTCTTTCGTAGAAAACTTCCTGGTTTTACATTCATCCTCGTCCATCGAGGAAAGAAGTGAAGTTTTATTTCCCAGTGAGTGTACATATTTGGGCAGGAATTTCGCAACCACACACCACCAAGGCTAACATCAACGGCACTACAGAATACTTATTCCGTAACGGTGACTAAATAATAGACAGTCAGTATCGACATTTCTAAAAGTTAGATTGGCAGATTAAAATAGTACGTACACTCCCAAGTTCTAACTAAAAGTAACTGCAAGAAGAATAAGAAAATCTACCTAAAAATTCAGCACATTTTCGTTATCTGTATATATAGCTGCACTATTGCTGTCTTTATTGCTTCGAGACCATTCTATACCTCATAGAAATAGGATTTTTCTGAGAAGTTAATTCGTAACGAAATTTCCGGTCCGCTTCTGGAGACCTAACTGATTTTGGCACCCATCAGACTTGATGTAAGCCCTAACTTAGGTGCCTATAGGACCGAGTGGAATTATATGTGAGTGCAATAACGGTAAGTGCAATAGAAAACTCAAGTGACATGCTAGATAAGACTATCCGCTCTCAGTACCCTCTCGTTCAGCAAGCTACACAAATATCAGGAAACAAAGAATGGTCGGTGTCCGTAAGGACATGTTCATCACTGAAAAACACATCGTGTTTACACATTCCTAACCACATTAAAATTCCAGTAGGTTAATGTTCAATAAATTGTATCGATTTGCTGGAGATTTTCCGAGGGATGAAAAGTTGCACAATGTGGTTCATTCATACACACATCTTAAATGGATCCAAATTCAAAAGACAAACACTTCTACCTCTGCAAACGTTAACCTAAAATGTTTACTTCAATTTTAGCCTTTTCCTATCAGCTGCTTACGTTATCAACGAGAAAGCGAAGGATCATAAGGTTGAGCTAGATCATTAATCTTAAATGGACATCACCCCATGGGAACTTTCAAGACAGTTTGATTCTCCGTACACTGGAGTTCCCCATTGGAGCGAGTACGGGACCCAAACGCAGGTCATCAGGAAATATTCGGCAAATTAAGTTTACATAGAAAGAGTTCTGGTTAGACTGTCTTCACCCGAACTGATTAGAGCCACAGTATCAAGAGCAAGAGGATGTGAGTTTTATATGTCTTCCCTTTCGTAGGAGTCCCAAGTTGAATGTGATCATATGTATTACTGAAGTTAAATTTAATATTGCACAGAGGCTGTGAAACCTCAGTATTTCCATAGAAAGTGCTACATCCCAACGTCTATCGAGAGACCAAAAAGCCTTTTCCAATGCCGAAGAAATGCATCAACCCGTTTGTTTATTAGTGGGAAATTGAAAACATGAGTTAGGGGTTTTCATTTCGAGTATGTCCTTGTATTTTAACTCATCAGCAATAGCTGAGTGCGTCAAATGCTGATAATCTCGACTTTGCATGCCAAAAGTTGGGAACAATATTCCCAGTTATTATTACAGGGACTACTATGTTTTCGGACCACAAGATCTAAAATAAGCAGATTAAACTCTAGCCTATATATACATGCTTATCAAAAGAATCCAGTCCCAAATAATAAAAAATATATTAATTGTATCACTGATATTCGAAAAGTTAATTTTTAAGCATCACTTTTGTGCCTTGTCAAATTGGGGACGTTGTTTTTCTATACTAAATTTAAGGTTACCATAGCATCCAACGAAGCTGAGAATGGTATGAAAGTAGAGAAGGTTTTCTCTCATCATGTTTTATTTTTAGCCAGCAAGTAGCTACATAAGCGGAGAATCCCGGAGCCATAGCTTTCATTCATCCAATTCTTCACACTCAAAGCGATCGAAAGCCCCAACATACCGTACAGTCAGCAGACATTCCAATGTCGATGAAAATTTATTTGGAGATCCTTTACATGTTAAAGAACGTCAAGTTAGTAAAACAAGATTATAGCATTATATCTGATAGTCCCGCTTAGAGCAGCAAAATGGCAACAATTCTAATGAGCCCGAAATTGTTGTCTCGCGAAGGAAAATGTTTGAGGAAGTTATTCCATGGGAAGAGTGTGAAAGAGAAAAGGAAAATAGGAGAAGGAAAAAAATAAGGCACTTTACCTCCGATTTGGTTCGTGACCTCGTGTAAGAAAATTTAATGAATATTTATTGCTTTTCTCAGTATACCTTCTGACAATGTCAGTAAAAAGGGAATAGTCATACCTTCAGAGAAATACAACGAACTTCTTCAGAAGTCAAAAATGTTGACGGATGCAGAAGAAAAACTTGCGGCTGACAAAGAAAAAGCCAAACAAGCAGCCTTGTTGGTGAGTCTTAAAATCTTATTTCGAAGTATACAAATCACTACAAACTGTTTCAAATGAGTTTCACGCCCAGTTTGGGTGTAGATACTGAAAGAAACCCCGAGAATAAAACCTATAAAATTTTCTTCCGAACTGCTCCTAGGGATTTTATCAGCCTGCACGCATATATTTTCATTTGTCGTTAAACTTGTAAACTTGAGGATACGGAAAAGTTGAACTATCAAAACCAAAGTGAAGGTCTTTCAGATGTTGACCTTAAAGAACCAATTAGATACTGGGAGTGCTATGAAATGCCATTTTAAATCAATTCATACCTACCTTTCTGGACTTGGAGATTTTAAATACAGTATTCCACTTATTTACCAGGTAAATCTATACTGTTAGGTAGGGTTATGACTTTTAAGACTGAGGTTTAGGGTTAAAGTGAGGATTATAATTAGAGTTAGGAGTAGGTCGAAGAATAGTTCAGAAATATCAATGCATCCGAAGGTGTCATGACCTAGATTCACCTGGACGAATGTATATATCGCGCATGGTACAATTTCTATATAGATCATCTGTGTAGTGACTGAGAGACATTCTTACAACACATAAGCTACAACTATACAGTGTAATATCATATTTGCAATATTTTTTAGTGTATTCCTCAACGGCTATGCAACTTTTTGTATCTGAATTCTGATTGGTTGTCCAAGGTCACCGTGCTTTTGGCTATGATAGTTTTACTTTGCCGAGAATACTACTTACTGAGGGATTTATGTGTGACTTTAAAACTGAGATTATTAAGCCCAGTATTCCTTAGGCATATACTTCTGACTATTCATTCAGTGGGGGTTCATTTTCGCTTTAAATAAATCACTATAAGCTGATGAAATCAGATTTCCCTGCAGGATAATTCCACTAGTTTACAATCTGATGTAGGAAACTAACTTTCTGATGTAGGCAATTTGGCCATGGAGGTATGTTATTATTAGAGAGACTTCTGAATATTGTTAGCAAAGTCAGAGCTTAAACTTACAGAAGAACAGAGATAAGTTTCAGCTAATTACTCAACAAATAAACGAAACGCCTTAAAAATTGTATTATTTAAAAACTAGGAGATAAGACAATGTGGAAGTAGAAAACTTAGAATCACTGAGTAAATTTTTAAATTTGCTGCAGGTGTGCAATGCCGATGCTCAAAAGATGTGCAGATTTAAATCCGATTTCATCATCTTCCATCTCACCACCAATCGTTTTGTAATGTGCTTTCAGAAGATGTACAAATACATGTTATGCGAAACCAAAAAAGACGCATTCGGTTGACAAATGGCCATCTTCCTAGACAATTATGTTTTCCTTAAAATAAGATTAAGTTGGCAAAAAGTTAGAATTTGTCAGACCGGAACAAGACGTCAACCCACGGAGTCACCAACTATAGGCGTAAACCAGATAGTGATGTTCCAGGTGTCTGTCTGAAACCATCGACGTGCTAAGAATCAGTGGAGAGTTGGCTCAGAACTATCTCCAATAATTCAGAGGAATTCAATATTTTCGTCTTCCATGTCTTGCAGGGCTATATTATTCTACATTTAATTATTATTTCCATCGCACTCATGTTCACCTATCATGACATCGATAATTATTTGTTTACTAATTTTATTTATTTTCTGAAGTGTCCTGACATCAAATGATATGACTGTGATAAGTTCTACGACAGTTTGTCAAAAATCAAGTCACTTTTCCACCTAAATAGGTCACATTTTACAGAGAGACAAACCAAATTATCATTTCGCACGTATCCCTAAGTATTGATTACCAAGTTACTTATTATAGATGAATATCATGTTATAACATCTAATCATCTTCTGAAATGATTTTCCCCTCTGCATACTCAACTCTAAAAAGTGGCTAAGTAGCGGTTAATAAACTCTTAGTCCTATGAACAAAAAGTAAGCGTTTCCTACACTCATAACCGTAGAATTTTATAAAAATAAACACTTAAATTGAAACTTTAGATAAAATGAAACATTTTGCAACCATAATGTGAGCTCTTTTGGATCAGAAATATTTACTTGGTGTTGTAAGGTTTAGTTAAAAATATTATTTGACGGAACTAAAGTAAAATATCAAATGACCAGTGTCCAACATAATGTGGATGAAGCCTTTATTTAACCCCGAGTAGAACTGTAGCTCTATAAGCTTCTATGAGTTACTCACTTTCATTGGGTTACTGTTACGTAAATATTAAAAGCATGGCAGTGGAAAAGTCCATAGTGTACTTAGTGCATCACTATAGTCTTTAGTGGAATTAAAGTTTTCTTTAGTTTCCCACACTGCGAGAAACAATTGCATTAAGTTACATGCATGTGATTCAAATTATTTGACGGAAACATTCGTGTTTCTTCCTAAACCAACTTGTTGCAACTGTAATCGAAACACGTTTTGTTTCAGGGTATCAATAATATCAAAATATAGACATGAAATTCCTTTGCGATTGTTTCTTCTGAAGTTGTGTTTGGTGATGATTTCATGCTTTTTGATTGTGTTGTGTAGAGTATTTTTGAAAATTCTCCTAGAAAAAGAAACAAAGCGGAAAACAATAGTGTAATATTCAGAGTCGATAAGTGATGAAATAAGTTAAACGTACAGCTGTAACACATTTCGCACAAACTTTCTGACTGGTTTATACCTCACTCTGAGTTCACATCATGTTCTAATAAAACTGGAACTTAATGGTTAGCACATAGTGATATATATTTAATGCTTATTCATTCATTTCAAAGTTGTGTGGTCTATCTTTCGTTGAATTTATTTCCTAGTCGAATAAATGAACTTACTATTAAGTATATGAGAATATTCACGATGAAAAATCTAATAAAATTAAAAAATTCTGTGTGAAATAACATTGATTCCCTCACTCTTTAAGGGTTAATTTAAAAGTGACTGATGCAACAATGCATCTTCAGCATAATTCCTACCTAAAAGAATAATGAAATAAAATATTAGAGGAGATTTGGAGTTCAGTGAATTCAACCACATAAAAATAATCAATAAGTGCAGATATCATTTCTCCTAAAGTGTTTAACTAAAAGTGTATTTCATACTTGAGGAAAATAGTGAACTTTACTACATTTCTCATGTTGGCTGACTGACTGGTTACAACGTAGAACTCTGCTGTGATGTGCAGCAATTCGAGTCACCAAACGCCCTCGATGTAGCACACAAAGCAAGAGAAGAGAGTAAAAAGAGATTCAAAAACAGACAGTAAGCAGAGATATAAGGCAAAAAAGAATAGTAATATCGAAGAACAATATAGTTTTATTGGATATTATAAGTCACAAGTAGTGGATACATCTGCGCCATCGAGAACGATTTTGAGCCATGCCACCGACTGTCTCCAGCCACTGGTTTTCACCGTTGAGAGGACCCCATCCAGGTAGTCTACACATTCCGACGTGGCATAAACTGGCTGTTGTGGATTCCATTGACTGATGAAGCCATGTTTTGGTTTGACCGCCACTGCCTCTTTTCCAACCTGATCCATCCTATGTCAGCTAACAACGCCCGTTGATCGAGGAAGGTGGTGGCTAGGCATACGTAACACATGTCCTAACCATCTCAATCGATGCAACTTCACATCTTCGTCGATTGATATCCCTTTCATACCTAGCACTCGACGCCTAACCTCAGTATTGCTCACTTTATTATACCACTTCACATGGTTGAGTGTTTTGCGATCTAAAAGAATAATTGCAATATCAGTAAAGTCAAACAAATACATTCTGGTGTACACTATAAGTACCTTATAGTTCATCCAGAAACATTTCTCGAGGTTAAATTACATCGAAACTGAGCTTTTGTAGTAGACGAACATCATGAATGTCGAAATGTAACCATTTTAGATAAAACCCAATTAAGGGAAGAGAGGCATAAAGTTTCCTTCTGATGGTTAATTTTATATTCAATTAAGACACGTAGTCTATCACATGAACTTTTACTTGCCAGTAAAATGCGTCACTAATATGAAAATGTCATTTAAATACGTGCAAAAAATAATTGTAACGTTATGACTTTATTATGTTGTGAAGACACTAAAAATTATCAGTCTTTTTCAATAAACAAAAGCTTCCATCCAATAGACATATTGCAAGTGAGTAAAAGCAGATATAAGTATTTTAAAATTTTGAAAAAATGGAGAAAATTTATAGCTCAGGTGGATGATCCCGATTTGGTTGTATTCTCTGAGCTGGTTCATTTAATTGCAAAGCTTTCGTCGTCCTTCTAGACAACATCTTCAGCGCAGGTTTGAGTATGAAATGAAGTTATTTGAATTCTCCATGAATGATATAATTGTGTTTCCTGGCAACCATTGTCGTGACTGGTTGTTAATTTACGTCTCTATTGATCATTATAATTGATTTGGGATTCGAACTTTCTTGTCATGTGATTTACTTCTTATTAGCTGGCAAATTTGGTCTATAGTAATGTGTTTGTTAGTTGCTGCCTGATTCACTTGAGTACCTACCAGGCTTCTAGAAATTCCCCGGCAATATTTTTAGTGTTTCCTCTGTTCGAAATTTCTACATTATCCCTGTCAAATTGGTGTCCGTAATTATCTGCATGCATTGATATGAAAGAATATATGGCATGCCTTTTTACAGCTAACTTGTGTTCCTGGATTCGGATTCAAAGGGGACGCCCACTTTAACCGATGTAATGTTCATTGCAGTTCATACGATTTATTTTTAAATGGTATTAATCTTATCTTCTTTTCTTGTTGGATTTCTTGGTTTACACAATATCGAATGAAGTGATCGGGCTGGCTTTAAAATTTTATTAATTTAAGGTTTCACTAGCGTACACTTAAGTGACTGATGTTTCAGCGCTTTTATTCTGGCAAAATACAATGCACACTCATCATTTTTGTATATAATCTTAAGTTTAAAAATAAGAATATCACGCCTCTTATTCAGTCTACCAAAAGCTCATCTAATCACTGACTTCTGATACGATAAATAAAT